AGTTATTTCTTTTTTTCTGAAGCAATGTTGTGCCAATATGATTTCAAAATCATGTTCTACACATTCAAACCCCTAAATGTATCTTGTTTCAATCACTAATTCAATTTAAATCTTTAATATAACGAAATATCTCATGATGAGAATATTCGAAAAATTCTCATTTTTCTGACAGCCGTATCTTTTTTTTCGGAGGCAACATTTTATAAATCAGATTAAAAAATTGTGTTCAACACACATGAAAATTCCTAGTTACAAAGTTGATACGGGTTATATTATTAACCCGCTCTGTATTACCAAAGTTTAATTCATATGGTAAAAACTTTTTACCATATGAATTAAATAATCATGCAGTTTGATTTGACAACTGATTCATGTAATATGTAAATTCAATTCAATACGTATTCAATATTAACATTTTTGAATCTTCTACAATACAGATGCAGGAAAAAATGCACCACGTTCAAACAAAAATTTTTAAATTATATTAGAAAATTACATTGCATATTTGTACAAATATTTTCAAAAGAATTCTTCTCATCGTGATAGCACTCTTATCATCATTCGTATTGCCATGCTTAAATGCAGGATACGTCAGCCGTATTACGATTAAACAAATTTAATCGTCTTCCAAGTAATACATACACGTTTCAAAAACATTTTATAAGCGTTTTTCCGAAACGTTTTATAACTGACATCTAGATACGTTTCTTACGAATTAAAATATCCATTCGGAAAACGTTCACTGAGACGTTTCTTTCCCGACAAAAGGGCGTTTTAGAAACGTTCTACCGTCCATTACTAGAAACTATTTTAAAATTATTTTTCTTAAGGATGAAAAAAGCTCCCAGAATTTCCAGAGACAACTGCAATCTATTTATAATACAACAAAGAAACAAAAGAGTCACTTCATACATTTACATCGCTCTGTGGTTTCGATCCCGATCGACGGCTGGTCATTGATTTACTTCCTAACCACGGATCTCCTCGCCACTTTATCTCGGTGGTCGGACGGATATCAATAATTCCAATATTTCTGACGACACATCTGTAATTCATATGATGTATCCTTACTTTGCTCAAGTGATAAAAGTGAGTTGAGGATATAGGTCGTCGAAGGAAAAGGATTAAGCAGAGATTTAAATGTAAGCGTCTTGAGACTGCACACTGACGCGGTTTTAGCTATTTTATAGTACAACATAGCGGTTCGTAAACCTTGTTTCGATCGGCTCGAGATGTATCTCGGTTAGGTTATTACTCGGCGTCGACAGCCGACTATTCCAAAGAGTCGATTATGATCGAGGTAAGTATGTCGTAACAATATATTTGTTTTTCCGCTGTTTTCCTCTCCGCTTCAGCGCCCATCCATCTACCGCGATACCGGCGCGACATCGTCGAGCAACTTCCACTTTTGACACTGTCGACGATTGAGACTCACGCGACCCACTTACTACGTTCCTCGTGCGCTTCGTTTTGAGCACGTTCGGCAACGTACGGTGCCGCGTAACGGACGTACGCGGGACGTAAAATTAGCCATATTGAGCGAAATCGGCCAATAAAAGTCGTACGATAGACATTGGCCGCGATAATTACATCTAACAGTAGGGGAATGCTATTCTTCGACCATGTAAAGCGCGTGCCGGCGGCATATTTCCGGACGCGGAGTGCAAACCGGTAGTCAACAGTCGGCATAGGAATATCTGGACGCAATATTCTTTATGAAGGGAAGGTGGTATTACACAATTAATAGAAAAAGTCTCTGTTGATGTAATCGAACAAGAGTCAGGCGGAAATTCGACCGTGACCGAAAACATTCGTCTGAACGGTCAGCTGTGCCGAAACTCGGTAGTTCAAAACAATCGACTGAACGATAATCACATATAATAAAAATTCTCCCACGTCTAAATCTCTTCGTTCCCACGATCGAATCTTCCGTCCGGTCTCTGTCATTCCCAGAATCAGCCGAAAATTCAGTTGCACTAACGGTATTATTTTCCCCGTGCGTGGAAACAATCTCTGTTCGGAGATTGAATAGGGGCGAACATTCGGTGAGAAATACTTCGTTGCTTAAAAGAAGACAAGTAAACTGAGTGTAATCGCTTTAACAATAGTAACGGTAGTTTCCTTTGAGCAAAGAAAACGGGGAAAAACATCGTTTGTCTGGCCGGCAGGTCTTCCACGAGATCCCGACGAGCTCGCTCCTCCTCACGAACTACGACCCGTTCTACTCGCCCTTGCTGTCGCGCCTCGACGCCGTGTTCTCGCGCCTCGGGCACAACACGGAGGGCTGCAGGGAGTACGCGGTGTGCGCGATGTATCGGAGCCCGGCGCGGTACGCGCCCTACTCGAACCTCGTGTCGGCCCAGCTGTCGAGGGAGCTGAACGAGCTGAGGAAGCCCAGCAGCGACAATCCCGATGTGCTGCGCTTCTTCAGGTACATGAAGGCCGCCAAGGACGGTCAAGACGGTGTCAAGTGCGAGGAGCTCTACGCGAATTGCGCGAACGCTCGCGAGGATCCGAGCTTGAAGCAGAATCAGGCGATGCTGGCGACCTACCAGGACATCAACAAGCTCGTGCAGGCTCGGAAAATCTGAGAAGTCGCGCGCGGATCTTCTCTTATTCGTGTCTTCGATGTCCTCGAGACGTGGATGTGACGAAGAAGAAGAAGAAGATGAAAATGTGCGATCGTTTTTCCCGCAGATATCCTCTGTGTATGATAGTCGGAACGATCGGATGCGCTAGCGCAGTTGCTGAGCTACCTCAGCGTCTGCTCTAACGATTCAGCATCCGTCCGTTCGTAGACGTTCGCTCGCGCGAAGCGGAAGTTCACAGTGGTGGGTCATCGTGGAGTAACTCGCTCGAGCCGCCGACCCTCAGGGTGGAAGAGAGACAGGCATCGATCAGAGTGCGTTCCAGCTTTTGAATCCGTCCTAATCTGCTACTGTGCGAGCCTTCAGTTTCCGTGACCGAATCTGTACTCTTGATGTATCGCGTACAGTTTTCTAAGTTATCGTCCGTGGTACGGAAGAATTCCTTCAAGTTTCAATACTCAGCTGGTATCAGGTTCCGCTTGAGATTCTAAGAACTTTTATTGATCTTCTTTTATGGAAATTTAGCGATTAAATAAGTCCGTATGAATAATAGTTGGAACACGTGAATTCGCGCAGGTTGAAAATTGCCACCACGCGCAAGCTTCCCGAGGCCTAAGAACTTTTATCGATCTCCTTCGCGAAAATCTGGCAATTAAATAAGACAGTACAAATAATATTTGGAATATATGAATTCGTGCAAATTCATTGAAAAATTAACCTCAAGGTTTGTTCTCAATTCGAACTTCCTTTTCTAGAAACACGGTTAAGAACGGATACGCTTGTCATATATAATTTAGTGGTTGCTAATAGTAAAAGGACGACTAATCAAGCATATCCTGTACATTGCATCCTGTGCAGAGAAGTCAGCCGATGGTGAGCGTGTCAATTATCGTTATCATTTTCTAATCACAAACCTGGACACACCAGCGGGAACTGTATCGATACGATCTAAAGCATCGCGATTTATCAAACGTTCGGTTTTGAGCTTACGAGAGGGATATGTGTGATTCGATTTAATTATGTAATTCAGTTTTCATGTAACAAAGCGACTTAAAAGTGGAAATGAGATCTAATTATCGTTCCGATGTGGTAATACGCAGCTGAGGGGGGATCCATTCCCTTCTGGAGATATGTTTCCTAGGAAATTATATCACGAACGCTCGGTAATTGAATTCTATAGAATATTTATGCGGCGAGCGTATTCTCTGCACAAGATCGAACCGAGGAAAAAGATTCCCCGAAGGAAAAATGTACTCCTTTAAAACCCGATATTCGTGCGGACGAATGAACGGTTAATAATTTAATGACGTAAATCAATTAATATCGACAAGTCGTGTAGATATGGCGGATAGAATTATGAAAGTACTATATATATTTAATTAATAAATTTATTTGGGTATTTTATTCTGTATATGATCAGCCATAAAATAAGTTGCAACTCTTTTCTCTTTCGATGAGTCTCGCAACGCATCTCGTGTCCAATAGGAAAATGTATCTTTTGAGAAATTACGAAGAAACAAACTCTTACAGTTTCGAAGGCTCAGCAAAAATTCAATTCTTTTCCCATTTTTGCCGGCTAATTTCTTCGGTTTCCTTCCCAAGGGTGGAAAATTTTATTTAGATAAAACGCACGCGTGTTCGGTTAAAATCTGTCATATTAATTCTTTTCGTAAAAGAGATAATTGCGTGCACTTAACTAAAGTTAAATGAAGTCAATATGTTGTATGTTAAATGAGATCCGCGGGAAGATAAAAAAATTGTTTTTTTGTACAAATTCTCTTATCGGCCATGGGAGTACGAAATTTATGAAAAAAGTATTGCAATCTTTTTGTGACGGACTGTATACAAACATATAGGATTTAATCTTGCGTGACGAGTGATTGATTCCGGATATTATTTATTTTGGTGTGACGTGTGAGAATGCAAATATATTAATTTATTCAACGCGAGCGAGAAACGCGTCGCGCTTGTGGAGTGCATGTATACTTGGATTGAATTCGATTTCATTAGTAAAAATTGCAATTTCCGTTGCGTTCATGGTTTATCTGTGAATTAATGTACAGCGTGCGCACGTCAATAAAAGAAGAAATGGTCCATGACGTCAACCACGAGGGTTTCTCCAGAGTGAGACTGCGCGTCGTGTCACGGCACATATATTATATAATCGTGCTTTCTTCATGGAAATCTTGTAATTTCGTTTGAGTTTCGAGGCTATGGATAATATAGCGTATTGTAAGTTCGAATCGCAGCAATCATACAAACTCGACGTCTCCGAACCTGTCGAATTTTTTAACGAGTGAAGTCACATGACACTAAAGTGTCCTTAGACTACACAGAGAAAGATTTCTTTGGATTTAGTATACATGCTTGTTTGATTTGTGTTTGTTTAATATAAACAATATAATAATTTAATATCAAATATCATTTTGTTTGAGTGAAAAAGTTGTTGTTTCATCTAAATAAACTAATTAAATAATTTAAGTAACCTAGTGAAGTTATTTGATAGAAAGATTTTCATTAAATAAACTTATTAGTAATTAAATAAAATTGTTTGATAGCAAAAAACAATATTATTTAGAGGAAATAATATTTGTTTCGATGAAGAAAAATGATTTCATTATATATTAAAGATTATTCCAAAAAATAAAAATCTTTAATATCTTTCTAACATAATGTTACTTTTTTCAAATAACTTATTATTTATGACAATTATTAATCATAATGTTAATAATATTAATTAATGTTTGGGTGAAAATATGAAAGAACTCGTCAAAGGAGAGGAAAGAATTGTATTACTTGACGTAAAGATATTTATCGTTTGAAAACAAAATCAATCAACAATTCTGTTTGTTGAGTCAAATATCCGTTTACTTACTCCATTTCAAAAGACAAATCTGTTTCAACCAAATAGATTTTATTCAATCCAAAGAATCTTTTTTCTCTATGTGTGGGTGTCTCGAGATAACGTTGTAAAGATACTTGAATTTAACGATTACATTAACAAATGAACAAAGGACAGATCGGGTATGTATGAGAAAGTAATTTACAGCGCGAGAGGGCCGTATCAAAAAGAGATCGGCGAAAGAGATGCGGGGAAATAAATCTGGTGTGTAAGACGATGACGCACCTCGGGTCGCAAACCGGAGAGAGAAGTACGTTGACTTCCTCTCTCCTTGCGCTGATACAACCCGTCTTTGTCCCTTCGGCTGGTTCCGGCTCTTGTTCCGGGCACGCCACTTTCACTCTCAATTTTTGTATATCCTCCCATTCGCCATTCATGGGATAACTTGCGGATCCTTCCCCTTCCCTGGACAAGGTGGTACGCTCATATAAATACGCCGATTGTGCGTGGGTCAAGGCGTCACATCTCTTTCGGGTCGAACTGGAGTGTTCGATTCCTGACGACGCGTTCCACGGTATCGATCAAGTTTTAAGAAGCGTCCAATTTTGCAGTAGACGAAAAAGTAATTTCTCCTTCGTGAGATTTCATTTCTAATCGGCAAGGTAAGTTGCGCCCCTCTCTCCCCCCCCTCTCTCTCTCTCTCTCTCCCTTTTTTAGTCTATACGATTTTCCGTATTTGTATTTTTCTGTAAAATATCTTTCACGTAATTTTCGATAATTTCCATGGTCATTTCTGTTATATTTTATTCATTCACTTTTACGATATTTTCACTTATTTTCCGGTCGTCCGTATTTGAAGACCCATCATTTCCGCGCTTTTAATTCCGTTCCGTTAGTTCTTACTCGAGTAATTTAGGGTAATAAAAATAGAGCCTCATTCGGGCTCCGGTCTATTCATTGTTTACCCGAGTGAGTCGATCCTCGTCGGTTTAGCCGAGAAAATTCACGGCCATTACCATCGTGACCGTTTCGCGGAGCGAGAATTGCCCTCGCAATTTCGCAGTCCGGCGGTTCGGCGGAAAATTTGCGGTCTGGCCGATGATTAGAAATGCGAAGGCGCATATTAACCGGGTATCCATCGGGTGAAATGCGCGCGCGCGCGATCAGAATTCCGAATCGGGAACCTGCTTCTCCTCACGTTTCTGATTGGTGCGCTCATCTAACGGCACTTGGTGAACCAGCGCGCGCCGACTGCCAACAGTCGATCTCGCAGACGTCCGAGCGCTGCTCGAGGATCATCACCACGAGCACGTTTTTTTTCACAAGGATGTCTCGTAACGAACCACTAATCGCGATTATTTGATAGTGCTTGGTGAGAAAATATCATATTTAAGGCCCTCGCTGTTGACAAAGAACCGTGTTGATCGCGCGAGCGTTACATTATTGCGCTTTGTCACGATACGGCTCACGTACGTGCGTGAAAAACGTGTTGACGCGCGTCTTAATGTTATCACACTACCGAATGAAAATTAATATAGACCCAGTGTCGTTAAAACAAGAAGGTAAATTGAGCGTAACGCGATTGGACGAACAGTTCGCCTCTCGAAATCCCGCGGTACGTTGTCCGACAGACAGTGAATCACGCTGTAATGCGGTGCGTTAATGAATAAATGGTGCCGCGATGCGCGTCTCCTAATGTTACGTTCCGTCGTAAAACGCGAATCGATAAGGACGAGTGCTTACAGGTGCAGAGTACCTAGACGAAGAGGAAGGATGCAACTGCAGCGATTGTTGGTAATTCTAGGAGCCGTTTTTACTGCGTCGTCGCTGGTATGCTGTCAGTCTGCCGGCAAAGTTACGTTCCAGGATGTCGTTCCAGAGGGCCAACCGGATAACCAAGGTACGATGTTTCACATTCACGGGTTACTTACACAAACTGATTTTTTAAACTAATTTTTAACAGTTATACGTGTTATAAGGGGAGAAATCACTGTGACGGCCGAAAGAATGGCTATTTTCGTGAATCTTTTTCCGCGGAAAATAATAAATAATAAATTTTTTTATTCATGTTTCGGAGTTCACTTGAACTCTCATGAGAGAGTGGCCCAAATTGCGTGATACATTTCATCCACAGAATTCTGATGTCTGCGGATGACTAGCCCATAAAAAATATATACTCAAGAATTCCTAATATCTATTCTATAACTAGAGGTATCCGAGCTACAAAGAATCCAGCTCACCACAAATCGGATCTTTTGTAGTCTTATCGGGACATAATAATCATAAAACCAGTTGTCCCGGCAAGCAGGTAGGCTGGAGCGCCGAGCATCTCCAGGCGCGCGGTCGGGTGCGCTATTCCGTCACAATTACTATAGTGCCGTTACGAATTTCAACATAATATTTTAGGAAAATATTTTTAAGGCCCGAAGCATTACAAAAATGTAAAAAAGGAAAAGTCGAAATTTTAAACCCGTCTCAGTAGTTTCCCTCCTTAAATCACTTGCGTATTCGCAAAAATAGGTTTATTCCATTTTTTAAAATATTATTTATGTTTATAATTTAATAAGCGAAGAAAACGCCGCTCTCAATTACTAGTTTACTGAAAAGTTAATGTTGATTCGTGAAAAATGATAAAATTAGGAGAAAATCAGGTGAAATGTAAAATTGTGAGAAGTATAAAATTATGTATAAGAGAAAGATAAATCATTTCTTGCGCGTTTATTTTGTCAGCTTTTAAAGTATCGGTATTTAATTTGACATATAATTAAAAATGTCAAATAAGGTTGCCTAACTTGAATTTACAATTTCAGAGGGTCCCGAAGAAGTTCCGTCGCAACAGAGGGGATTTAATCCCGCTCAACACGTGGGAGATTTATTTGAATATATCGGTTTCGGAACAGGACGAAACACGGATCCGTATTTGGCGAGAGTCAACGAACGTTGCATAACCGGCGACCTGGCGGAATGCTTCAAGTCCCGTGCTTTAAGCTATTTTTCGGATTTTTTCGACCATGCCGAATACTCCCTGAGCGACTACGTCCGAGTTAAGCGGATGTCTCACGACGTGGTGACGGAAGTGTACCATCAGCCGTACGAATATTCCAACGAGCCTAGGTATGTCGTTATTTTCGTAGAAGTAGAAAATAAAATGCCTGTACGCGCGTAGTTATACATTTTCTACGTGTGAGAATGATTGCGCGGTTGAAAAAATTGCCAAAATTCCTTATCAATTTTCGAATGTTGGAAAAAGCGTAGCTCGAATTGTTCGACGAAGATCATTGCGCGCTTTTTGGATTAAAGTATGTATCCAATACAGGTCTCAGGAATCGGAATGGGATCAACTGGTGAACTTTATGAAAAGGAAAGCGGAGAGATTTATCAAAACAATGTCCTTTGAATTAATTATACCCACCTCAGAGACTGGTCGCAACGGAGCTTACGAGCCGAGATTTTTGGACGAAATCGCTGAAGAGATTAATACTCTTGAAAACAAGAAGGATACTCTATTTTGTGAGTATCTATGATACTCTAAGATGACAGCATAAAAGAAGCTTCCCAAAAAAATATCTTAAAATTTGAAAATCGCCCTTAATATCACAATATGTATTAATCTCACGACTTATTTTCATTTAATCTCGACAGAGCTAGATTTTTTGCCAAAGGTTGAACTAAATCAAGTCTAAAGAATTCAATGAAATTAGTTAATTAAATAATTTTGATAACTGTTTTTTGATAACTGTTGATAAAATCTTATTCTACTTGCTAAGACGAATGATTTACTCTCTTTTGCTCTTTTAGCTCGCCATAAATTCAGGAAACTCTTGATACCGATGCTGCTTGTCATAAAACTCTTCAAGCTGAAACTGCTGCTTTTCTTGCCGTTGATTTTGGGCCTGGCTTCGTTTAAGAAGTTCCTCGGATTCCTCGCGATCGCCATACCCGGTCTGATAGGTTTCTTTAAGCTCTACAGGCCGCAAAATTATTATCCGCCAGTTTACACCAAGAACGGTATCGGTCACCCTCAATACGGAGTACATCCAGATATCGATTATCACGAGGATCATTACGGAAACGTAGGATCCTATGGTCAGGATTTGGCGTATCAGGGTTACCAGCATTATAAGCCGTAATTAACTTATTTATTTTGTGTCATTTTCATGTTAGAGAAAGAAACGACTAAACAGACAGTCATATTTTCGGGTGGTTCCCAAATAACATTAAGACATTGGAAAGACGTTTTTTGACCATAAGTCGTCTAAAGGATGTCTTCAAGATATCTTTTAAACAGACGTGTTGTTTCGGTTACGAAAATCACATATAAATATGACGTACAGTTTTATCGTTTCTTACGCGCGCGTGAGTTATTATTCGGATATGCTATTTTAAGTATACTTATTTGTTGTATCTGATTGACTCGAATGTGTTGTACATATTGTTAAAGTGTGAATGAGTAAATTCTGACGTCCATTTTTTTAATACAAATTTTTAAAATAAAAAGCGCAATTCAAAGAGGAACTTGTTGCTTTTATTCTGACTCACGTTAATCTTACATATAGACAAAGATTTGGTTGTAACCAGATATTCAAAGACCACTCCGGTTTATATTGATTCGATGTAAAAGTTAATTCCGTTCTTTAATCAAAATATAATATTTATTTATTTTAAAATACAATCAATCAGTTAAATGTGCATCGTTTTATTCGACGACCTGCCACCTTTTTTGGTAGCTGTATGATCTGCGTCTGTATAAATTCAAAAATTTGTGAGCGATGAAATAATTAAAAAAAAATGGAACGAACTTTTGCGTCAATCCAATATTTGCGCCTTATGGAAATGTTTAGGACGTAATGATGCTTGCAATTTAAATTAAAATTTCATTGCGTACATTCATACATAGTATCGTATGGTCGACCTTGCTATTATCTTTTTCTCTGCTTATCGTTTTCGTTCCACTTTTAACGTATTATAGATATGTGCGCTCACAATTTTGCGAATTAATATATAACATGTTCACGTGATATAACAATAATAATAATGATAATAATATCAATAATAGTACTAGTATGTTTTTTAAAAATCCGCTTTTCCATTTTTGCCTGGAAAAAAATCGCAAAAGTTCGTAGAAAATTGAAAAATCCGATTTTTTTTCCTACTTTTTTCATTTGTCGAATGAAATTTGTCTGAAAGAAACCAAAAAAGTTGCGAAAAATAAAAAAATCCGGATTTTTTCGAGCTTTTAAAACTATAGATACCAGTAATAATAATAATAAAAATATAATAAAATTATAAAGAATATTAAAATGGAAGAAAATATACATATTCCCATTTATAATGGTTCTGAAATTGTAGTTGACAATTAGCATTCAGTTAACCAATATAATAAAAAAATATAAAAATAATCATAACAAAAACAATCATAATAAAAAAATCTTTGCTCTTTTTGTTTTTATTAACTTAAAACTTATAACTTAAAATGTAATATAGTTCGTAGTTTTTTCAATGGTAAAGGTTTTTGATATAATTTGATGTGTGCTTGACAAATCAAATTTTATCAAAAACAATAATAATAATATGATAATAATACGCGGATCCGCCAGAGAAAAATTTTTCTCAACCATACGGAGAAAATATGCAAATTACCACAAAATTTTACAATTCTGTGCCATACCAGAATTATGACTGAAATTATTATGTGTGTTGTAATTTTTAATGATGTATGTACAATGAAATATATCACTAAAGATTACGACACATCATACTTTCAGTTATAACTTTAATATGGTCCAGAATTGCAAAATTTTGTGGCAACTCTTACTACAATATTTTCTCCGTTTACGAATTTGCCGAGAAATCAGCGGACGATACAATGTTAAGCCGCGAGGGTATGCTGTGTAATAATTTTTAACACTTAATTCGGGTGAACCGGAAATTCTGGAATAGAAACTAGGATATGCGGCAGTTTTCGCGAGGAAAGATTAGTCATAATCAACGATGTTTATAGCTCTTACACGACTTTCTACGCGCATCGTCGGTAACTCAAGATCGTTTAGACATTAACACATTTTATTATGCCATTACACGCATTTACCGTAATAATCGCCTTCATTTTGGCTAATTAAACGGATAAACTGCTGCCGAGCTGCTAATAAGATTTTCCACGTCGCAGGAATGTGTGTAATTAAGATAATATATTGCTGATGCAATTACATATCTGGGAAGGAGATTACAGGTATTTTTTCTTTTTTCTAAATTATTTATGCGCATGATAAAAATTAAAGGGGGAGATTGTCATAAGTATTTCGTAATTTTGAGAAGAAAATTACACAATTTCACGAGAAAGAAATTTAATAAATTTAGGCGTCACAAACTTGGTCGGGAATTCTGTTAGATCGTTGCTTCAACGCCGATGAAGTAACTCCGAAATTCGGAATCCGGAAGAGGAATCGGAATTGCGCGATGACATAAGAAATGTAAATTTATCGTCCACGCATCTCTCGATGCGGGAGCATCGTTTGGAAATACCGGTCGCATTCCTGACCATTCGTGCGACTTCCCGCGGACCCCTCACGAGATATCCGCTTATTGTCGCAGCTTCTCTCTTAATGGCGTGAAAATCCTGTGAGTGAATCCCCGTCGCTTCTCTCTCTCTCTCTCTCTCGATGCGCAACGAGGAACTATCTTATACACGAACCGGTCCGATACGATTCTCACTCGCGATCCGGAGAATCGAACGGAACGGACCCGTTGACCAAGTGGCCTCCTTTGCCGAGAAGACCGGAAACGGCCTCGCGGCGATACATGGAAAGCAACTCGGCGGAAACCCGCGTTGCATGCAGCATCTGACCCTTCGGCCGTCGCGTCGAGTTGCTTCTGTGAACGTTGACGAAGAGGAAACACGATGTGCCGCTTTCGTTATTTTTCGTTGAAATCGATATTATGAATTTATCAAGACTGCTATCTGCTATTTGCATTTCATACGGAATGAACCGATGACTGTTACCGCCTTGGATATCTTCGAAATATGATATTAAGAGGTACATTTATCCAACCGAAATTGTATAGACGCGAGCTATAATTTTATTATCGTTACTTATTATCGCTTGTACATCTAAATACGCTTACAAGAAAAAAATTAATAATCAATTATTATTGTTAGTTACGTTACAGTAATTATTATTAGTCACCTAATTTGATAGATATTTCCATATAATAAAAATGTTTCGACGATTCCTTTAGATGAATTCGTGAAAAAGCCTCAATTTTGATTTTGTGAACCTGAACATTCCGCACCGATCTGTTTTTAGATACGATGTGGCTTTGATTCTTCGAGCTATCTGATATGATTTCTGGCGCATCTGCGTGTGTAAAGCTGCGGTTTGACGGTTGAGATGAGGAAAGAAAGAAAGAGAGGAGGTCGCATCGGGAGAAACTCTTTCGTTATCCGGCGAATTTCCGTTCGCACCGCGCCCATAGATGCTTCTAGGCGACAGTTGATACATGATAATAAACGCAATTAATCTTTCTCCTTGCGATGACCGCAAGTGAAAGGAAATTCGAGCCGTGACGTTACAATACGACCGTTTGACCGTCTTGCCGGCGGAGAAAACGCAATAGTGCGTGTGAACTGGTGCGTTTATAATTACATGATTTCTTCTCTCTCCCTCTCTCTCTCTCTCTCTTTTTCTCTCCCTCTCTCTCTCGCTCTTCCTCTCTTTATTTCTTTTCTCTTCTTTTTCTCTAAAGACACACGCACATTATTCACCGAATTGCCGACGATACGGCGATTAGTCGTTCATGCCAGCTGGTGTAGCGAAAGCGAGGACGATGCATAAAAATGAGCCGTTCGACTTTTCGGCTTTTCTATACTTTCTATTAAATGGCCGGAAGCACGCGGGACACCAACTCGGATACTTTCCTGCGTGCGTCCGTTTCTCGAATTTTATCGATTCCCTCTTGAATTGATTTCTCATTTATAGTCAAATTCGATCGCCTATATTTCATCGGATTAGTGCGCGTTAAAGACCGCAACACATCGAGTATTCAAATGCAATGGCATAACATAAACACTTTCCGAGTCGAAATTTTGATCCTATGTTAAGCCTTGAATTCTTGAAATACAGTTGGAGCTAAAATAGCAAAATAAGTTCAATTCCAATGATATGATTTACTTCGGTGATGTTTTGAATTTTCACACAAAATGCTTCAATTTACACTAATCTTAACAAGATAAGCGCGAATTAAAGCACTCTAGGTGTCGCTTCTGCTTTGATACGACGAATTAAAAATTTCAGTTTTGTCTACAACTTTCATCTAAAGGTTAAACTAAATTAAGGTCGACGCAATTGGGCTTGAGAGCATGAAACATCCGACTGTTCTGCCTAAATGATAATTATAATTATCGTATATTTAAAACGCTCGCATATTTGTTTCCTTAAATAACTGCTCCGAGCCTTCAGCGCGCACCGATCTGACGCAGCGCGGGTGATCGAATTCGCTGTTGGTTGATCGCGCGGCCGCGCACGAATTCCGCGCGTCGTCCGTAATCACTCGGGCCGTCCTCTTTTCCCCGGTAGAGTCGCGCGCTATCCGTTCTCTCCATCGCGACGCACAACGGTGCTGAATTAATATCTCGTAATATGAGTGTGGGATCCAGCCGGCTGATTCGCGCTACGCGTACATGCAAATTAACGCAGCCAAGGAAGGTGGGCGCGTTTGCGCCGAACTCCATGCTTCTTTCCTTTACCGGGTCGTCTACCTCCAGGAATACCTCGCTGCTGCGAAACGTCGAATATCCGCTGCTATATCGCGCACACGGTAACTACGTACGCGGAAAAAAGTCTCGGTCCCTGCAACTGAATGGGGATCAGACGAAAATTTGGTTACGAGGAATGGAAATTCGATTGACAAGGAATGACGTCTACGTTACCGCGATTGTGTAAACATTCAGCTGCGTTAACTTTAGTAGCAACACGTCAACCCGGGAATAGTCACTCGGAGTCTTTTTAGACACTTAGTGGTCAGGAAAGGAAGTTCACGTCGCAGTGGGTTTTCTTTACTGATCGAGAATGAATAGTTACTTTTCATTTCGACATTTAGAGACCTAATCTGTGCAAGAAAAATTGTCTGTGATTCGTTTTATTTATAATATAAGACTGTAAAAACTCGCTGGGGTACAAAATGACCCAAGGTGATC